AAAAAAACAAATGAATAAAAAACCAGTTTGGCAAGTTTAACTTTACCATTTGGATTGAAAAGGAGTGGTGTTTAAAATTTATCTATTTTTTGCTGGCCACAATTGAAGGCTTAGTGTCTTACAAGAGTGGAGTTCAGATAACTGTCCACTTGTATATTGACGGTAACGTTTAAGTAAGCTTTTCAATCACTGAATAAACCTATCAGGCAACTTTCGATGAAATTTGAAAATTTTACATACTTTAGATATTGCTCGAGAGAAAGTACCAGGCCTTATCACAACTTTCAACTCGGAGAAGCTCAACCATGTTGAACCAATGGTTAAGAGCACTTTACCCGACGCAAATGGTAAGCTGGAAACTGTTTTCAAATATGAACATTTGCTAGGTTTTCAACTGTTTAAAAATGAGAATTATCAAAATAGTCTAATTCCCGAAAGTTTCTTGTAATTTACTAGAGGATGACTTCATTGAGTAGAACATAAATTTAGGCATCTCAGTGATTCAATATATATTGCTCTTCCCAAAATTTTTAAAGCCTCTGATACCCTATCCATTTCACAAGTTACAGAATTCGCTCGCGAAAACTTGAAAAGCCTTGCCGCCAGTTTTGACCATGGAGGACTGAAACACGTAGAACCGGTCATAAAAACAAACGTTGAAGGTGAACTACTTTTATGTTCAGTAACTTCACAAAAGGAGTGTATAACGTGTACAACGTAGTCATTTTTCAGTAATCAGCGGGGACGAAATTCATTAACTCCTGCGTATGCACCGTGCCCGCAAGTCTTGGATATACACAGTTCTTACCCTCAACAAGTGAAAATCAGTCTCGTGTGCTTCCTGTTATTTTTCTATGATACACCCCTGCTGTTTTTTATTTCGGACTCGTATACTTTGACATGTATAAATACATTCCATATATTCTCATATAAAGTGTGAAGTTGCCTTAAACAAGTGTCGAGAATGTGAGCCAGTTCAAATTGTGTAAATTTATTATGATAACAACTACCGAGCATCTACGACTTTTCCCCTACCAATCAGAATAATTACCATCTTTAAAAATATAATTAATTTAGACCTTATTGAGCAGAACTGTGATTTATATACGAGGGGAATAAGTCTTTCCTGGCGTTTTGCTCCGGCTTGCTTCAATCAAGCCTCTTAAAAAGAGTAGAGGAGAGAGGTAAATGCGGTCAAGAACAATAACAAAGCACGAAAATGAGGTAATTCCATCACCTGGTGCACTAAATGCGACCAGAAAATCAAATGAGCTCAAATATCACTAGTTCTTATAATCACCGCTCTCCGCTGAGCAAATTGACTAGCAGAGAGGCAGTGCAAGAATTCGCATTAAAGATAGGCCAGAAATTAAGAATAATACAACAGCAACGAAATGCATAGGAAACATCATGTCAGGAATGTCGATAATGCATGACTTTCATCTCTTTCAATATCCATCAGCCTGTTGTTAAACGCAGCTTGAAGTTCGAATGCAGTTTGAACTGCACATGACACCATTCCTTCTGAAATGATAATGCTGTCGTTCACACTCAACAAGCTATTAAACAGCAAAAGCACTGAATATTAAGGATGAGGGTTGACTGGCTACCTCCAGGTCGCCATACAGAATTTTCGAGAAGATCATAATGTGAGAGCTGTTGAAACGAAATATTTAAACCCACACAGCAAATTTCAATGGCCAACTAACCTATGGAATCCGTTTCCAATGAACCACCACCGCACTGCCGCAAAAATGTAATCCTGCAGTTCCTTTCATGAGATGCTAATGCCTGAAATCAACCGAAGACTCGGAAGAAAATTAAAAGGAAGATGACCAGGTAAATATAAAAGCTTTCAAACTATGCAGAAATATCATTATTACATTCTTTATTTATAACCGACCATGCCAATTAAGAAAAGGGTTTGTTAACTACGAGACTTTTGAAAGATAGGAGCGCAGGATCACTACCAATGAAAAAAACCCAAAAAAAAAAAAAATCCAGCCAGCATAAAGTTAAAGAAAATCCTTTACTGCTTTCAATGACTGTGCTATTATAACATTCAAGAACTTCTAAGAGATCAACCTTTGTAGGTTCCACTGAAATGCCAACCCATAACGTAGCTTTAACACAAGCCTTCTCAGTGAGTGAAACATCCATCACATTTGCACCTCCTAACTTACTTACGCAGAGTATAAAAGGAGTCCTAAATCAAGTAATTAATGAATAAACTGTATGGCAAACCTCAAAAATTTGCTTTAAAAATAGGATTTTTTGTCAATGTTCATTGCCCAGTGAGTTCTAGAATGTTAACGGTAGACAAGCTGAGACAAACCTGCTTATGTCAAACCTCCAGACTGTATTATCATCTGGCAAATCCACTACCTGCTTGCCAGCATCTCCCGGTCTAACTACCACGTTACATATTTCGGTATTATAAAGAGCTGCTTTTACCTTGAAAGACTTTTCAAATTGAAAAATACAAACAAGAAGCAAATAAACAAAAAACTGTTCCGGTAATTAAGATTTCAATGGTGTCGCTGAAATAATAAACC